CCCCACAACAAGTGGGCTAGAAGGCACAAGCTCCAAATACACGTTACCAGTAAAGATACTAAAAGGAGCAAGAATTATCTGAAGCAGACCTTTTGCCCCCTTATCATTCTACATTACTACTGGGTATTCTTCAAGGTGACAACATACACTGTGGGCAGAAGTGCCCAGCCGGGGTACCAGCCAGGACTTAAATCTAGCCCTTGTCCCACTGGCCAAGCATGCCACACGTCAGCTTCTGCCCGCTGCAACAAGAAGGTCTGCAGGGCCCTGGCCTCCCCAGAAAATGGCTTTAGCCTCCCTGAGCCTCCCTGGTGAGCTGCCTAGTTACCGCTATCAGGAGGTGGTACAGCCACTGAAAGAAACCCAACTGAGAAAAGGTGAATCCCCTTTCAAAACAGGGCTGCTGTCTTAGCAAAGATCTCACTTTATGAATAAACCTGCCCATTCTCTGAGATGCCTGAATGGAACAAGACTAGTTAATATCTTAGAATCAAATAAACTTCCCAGGAGAATCAGCATAATTAACTGCTGTCTCCAGAGCCTGGATTCCTCACGGCAGATGGTGAGCCACCTAAACTCAGATTCAATGTGGTCTTTCAGCACTTTGTTCAAGTTGCTATGAGGCAACCTAAGCTCATCTCCGTATTCTCCACACTCACTCGTGCCAGTTCTCACCTCTTCAATGAGGAACAACCATCTACCATATTTTCACAACTCTACATTTTACTTAGAAAGAAATTGAAGATAGCACCCAGTCAGAGAGTTCACCTAATTTGACCACATTAAGCTGAAACTCCAAACTGACAATGCTGAAGCAGATTATTCTTGGCATACAGAAGGCACAAAAAGGCCACAAATCAGAGCAGACAAGTTTACTACCACTCATTCAATTACAACTAAAAGTCACTAATAAACACGGTGTCAATGAAACATGGTGTCGCTTATTTGTGTGTGATAATTTCATCAGCTCCCTCAGCCCATGTTTCTACATAAAGACACATCTTGAAACTGGGAGGGCGACGTCTGAGGCATGGTGGGGAAGGAACTGGTGGAGCACAGTCCTCCATAAACTTTATTACACTTCTGGTCAGAATTCCACAGGTTTTATTTAAGAGAATTTAAATCAATAAAGCCCCACTAGTAAAAGCATCCTGTCTGTCTGCCTTGCACATTTATTTCTCTACCAGATCAGATGATTTAAATGCTCATGTTACTCTGGCATCCGAAGTTGTGAAAATTCATTACTCAGTATATAAACTGGGAATATCATAGAATTAAATCTATTCAGTCTACCTCCAACAAATAAAACAGGGTTTAACAGTTTTGTTTGTTTTTTTTGAGACAGAGCCTCAAGCTGTTCCCCTGGGTAGAGTGCCGTGGCATCACAGCTCACAGCAACCTCCAACTCCTGGGCTCAAGCGAGTCTCCTGCCTCAGCCTCCCAAGTAGCTGGGATTACAGGCGCCCGCCACAATGCCCTGCCATTTTTTTGGTTGCAGCCATCATTGTTGTTTGTCAGGCCCGGGCTGGGGATTCGAACACGCCACCTTAGGTGTATGTGGCTGGTGCCTTAGCCGCTTGAGCCACAGGCGCTGAGCCAGGGTTTAACAGTTTAAGAACCATTAGTCAAAATGAAATCTACTGAATCACAAGCAAGGGATGATTTTTAAAAGCAGAAAATGATGGGAGAAATAGCAGAGAATATGTTACCCCTGGACCCAAACCATGAGGAAAGCCCAGCTGGGAACACAGTTGTAAAGCTGTAGCACCGATCCAGATCTTGGAAAAATCCTTGCTACTTCCTAAAGCAACAATGTGTCCACATTGTTACTTAAAAGTTTCTTCCATCTGCTCTTTTACTTGTCAATTCACTTTAAAATAGTGAGCAACAGAGAACCTTCTTCACCGAGAACCAGCCTCAGTGTATGTGGCCAGTACCTGAACCACTGAGCTATGAGTGCTGAGCCTAAGTTAGGATTTAAAATAGGCTTTTTATATGTTACTGGTGGCAATGTAAATGGTTATTACTCTTTTTAGTAAAGAAAATGGCTTTATGTATTAAAAACAATAAAAAATGTTCATACTCTCTAGCCCAATAATTTCATTTGATAACAGAATGTAATAAAATCAACAACAAACCCCCCCATATATGTATAAACATGTGTATTGTAGTACTTTTGTAACAAAGTATTGAAAACAATTTAAATATTCAACAATGAGGGGTAAAGTGTAATGAATGATACATCATAATGTAGCCATTAACAGTACTATTAAAAAACCACTTAGGGACAGGGAAAAACACCTTATAAAATGTTTGATGAGAGACCCTAACAAAATGCTGTCTAGACAGTGAGTGCACAATTAGACATGGGCTGGAAAGAATGCAGATGATAAAAATAGATACACTTTGGTTGGTGGACCAGGGACAATTGTATTTCCTTCACTGTTATAAATGTCATTTATAGAACACAAATAGGTATGATTTCCACTATTTCCTTTGCCCACCTGCCCTCACATTTTCACTAAATTAATTTCCAATGACTGGTGGGGACTCAAGGAAGAATCTCTCACCCTTTGGTAAGGACCCCTCTTCAAGGTCAGCAGCGTCCCCTACACAGGGACAGCTCAGGAACCCTGGTGCCGTGCAGGTGAGCGAATGTTCCCGAGGCCAATGCCTCCTGAGTGTGGAGACCAGAGACCCGCATCTGAGACCTGCCTTCTAGAGGCAGCCCACCTGGACCCTGCAGCATCAGGTTTAACCCCAAGGGAGCACCTCACTGTCAGTGATTGCACACAAATCCTTAGGCAAATCAAGGTGGCAGGGACAAGGATAACTTAAACATGGTTAAAATGTTCTGGGGTAAGGTGTCCCAGGCGTTCCTCCCACGACCCTTCGTAAGCAATGCAGACCCGGCTAGGACCATCCTGCTATAGGAGAAGCAGACTGATGCTCACAGCTGGCTGCATTTTCAGTCCAAGGATCTCTCGATCGGAGGCGGAGTTTACCACCTGGATATCATGTATGCTGTGCTTCCCCCAAGTCCCCACCAAGGGTCTGTCCCTTTAATAAGAAGGTGGGAAGGCTTGGTGCCTGTGGCTCAAGCGGCTAAGGTGCCAGCCACATACACCTGAGCTGGTGGGTTCGAATCCAGCTAGGGCCCGCCAAACAACAATGACAGCTGCAACCAAAAAATAGCCGGGCATTGTGGCGGGCGTCTGTAGTCCCAGGTACTAGGGAGGCGGAGGCAGGAGACTCGCTTGAGCCCTGGAGTTGGAGGTTGCTGTGAGCTGTGATGCCATAGCACTCTACCCAGATAGCTTGAGGCTCTGTCTCAAAAAAAAAGGTGGGAAGCACAAACTGCGGCAGGGGTAGGTGGGTGGGGGAGGATTCAATTCATTCACAGCTCATAGCTCCAACTCAAAGGGTGGGAGCAGGAGGGGAAGGCAGGTTAGAAGGCTGGGGGATGAGATCACTCAGCCACTAGAACGCCAGCTGTGAAAGGAGGCATCGTTCTGGAAGAGGGCTCTGTCACTGCTGAGGGTATACCCAGCACAAGGAAAGCGGGCAAGCGGCCTCCGGAGCAATGGAGGGACAGAATCACAGAAATCATTGGAAAAATGGGGGATGAAGGGAGAGACCGTTGCAGGGATGTGCTTGCAATGCTAAATTCATGAGAAGGGATTTTTAATGCCTTCCCTTGACATGTATGTGCCTCTTACAGGAGAAAGAATGGCTATGAAGATGTATAAAAATAGTCCCGGGGACTTCCGCTGCCCCTGCTCTGGAGTCAGGGAGTGGACAAGCACAGGGTCTGGCAGAGGCGGGCCTCACTTTCCCGGCTGACGTGGGGTGGCACCCTACCCCCCTGATGGGACGTGGAGGCACACACTCCGCACTCAGGAAACCTTAGCTGTTACTATTCCAGCCAGAACAACAACGCAGTTCAGGATCTGGACTCCACACCCAGGGTTCTTGAGTTCAAGTTCAAGTTCAACACTTACTGGCTGTGTGACACTGGGCCAGTTACGTAACTTCTGGGTACCTCAGTTTCCTCTTGGAGAAGTGAATAACAGTACCTGACTTTGAGGGTAGGATTCAGATTTGGAAAGCACTTAGCACAGTGCCTGCTAAGGACTAGCCATCTGGGAAGTAACTAAATATTGTAATCACTACTCTTACTACGCAGGTGCGCAAAAGTAGGACAAGG